TCCAGGATGGTCGGGCCTCGCTCAAAAGTGCACCATAACTGTGCATCTAAGGGGGGAGGCAGGGCACTGGAACTGTTTGTACAACTAGCTGGCGCTACTCCGCCTTCCGACCCAGGCAGAGCGTCTCTGTGAAACTCTTCGGACATTTGCCCCATGTCCTGCTCCTCCTCCGCTTCGAGCGGATCAGAGTCTAAATCGAACAGAGGCGCATACCTATTGTTGGCGTAGCGCCTATGTAGGCTGGTCGTGGCACGATCGACCCCCCCCCCCCCCCCCCTCTCGACCGTCACCCCCCTCTTCATTCAGACCGACCGATCTACGCCTATGGATCCCCGCTGGCGGATCAGAGTCGGTCGTGCCCGACCTGTTGCTGGTGTGTGCATTGTCCGTCTACTATCACGAAACTTTGTGTCGGGCTGATCTCTCTCCCTGGATCTAGCCCCCCCCCCCCCCCCCCCCCCCCCCATGCATGACCTGGCCGCGGTGGAGGAGTGGAGAGGAGTGTGATAACCCAGGAGAGGGGTCTTATCACCATGCCTGTAGGTCCTGACATAACTATTCCCAAAACGTACCACTCTTAGGCGGTCCTGTTCTCTTTCCTGGGTGGGCTGTTTATCCCCTTTGGACCCCCACCCACCGGTAGCAGAAGTGGATCCTCCTGCGAGAGGGCCCCAGGAAAAAAAAAGGCTGGGTCGGTGCCAAAAAGGGGCGCTCACGTCACATGGCCCTTTGATCTCCTCCATTTCCTCATCGTTGGCCTCCTCCTTAGCCTGAGTGCCGTAGGGATCCCCCGCGATCTCTGTGGGCGAGGCGCTCACCTCCACCATGATGGGAGACTGCGTGATGCCCCTGCCCTCACTCTGCACTGGCGTTGTGGTACCTCCGATCGGCGTTGGTGGACATGGCTGCGCCGCTGGGACGCTTGGTGGCGAGTTTGGTATACCACCTTCTGCATGATTAGACGCACCAGTGTTGGTCCGCTGCTGCAGGTGGGTCATGTTCGTGTCCATTCTCGTATCATTGTATGTCTGGCGCTGGCATAACATTTTTACCATCCCAGACAATTGCTTGATCTCCATGTCTGGCTGATAGGACTGAGGCGGTATCGGTGGAAACTGCTGTTGCTGCATTCCCTGTGGGACGAACATTCCACTCATATTCAAGCCCATCGCTGGCGTACAGGTTGGAGGTGGCGGCGGCGGTACTGGTGCTGGTCTCCCGCCCATGTTGACATTGTCACCCGTCATGGCCTCATCTTCTTCCCCCACCATGTAATCCTCCAACTCTTCCAGTTCGTCGACGGCTGCTTTCCACTCGGCTAAGTCTTTCACCGCATCTCGATACTGAATTTGCATATCATTGATATTGGCCATCATGGTTTTCAGGTAGGTCTGGCACTTGTCCCTTTTGACTTTCTAGTCCACCAGTTGATCCACCGATCTCTGTAGTACTCATCATGTACTTTAGACATGCCACCTCCTTGATGTAATGATTATGATCCGTTTTTCCAGCTCTTACAGCAACGATGATCAGGCGAGCAATCTCGAACATCCTCTGCTTTGTTTGGCCTTAGAGGCCTTGATACCTGGAATATCCACTGGCACTTGTTCGTACCCAAGAAACTGCATATATGTGACTGCTTCTGACCTTTTCATCGTGACGACTCTGCCCAGAAACTTTTTGATCTCCTCTTGTTCCTGACGTATGCCTTTTCGATCCTGCTCAAGGAAGTCTTTTGGACTATCACTCTTTGACCGACTGTGAGGTATTCGTGCATGTTGCTGTTGCTGACGCTGGGGTGTCTTCCCTCTGACGCGCTGCTCATAGTTACGTCCACATAGACACGCCCAATGGTGCCCCCGTGCGTACCGTCCGCATGAGCAATCCCATGTGTCCTGGTCCTGACGACATCTTCACAAAGTGGGGCGAACTATGATGCCTTCTTAATAGGGGCTGGGCTTTGTATAATGTTAGCAAGACTCTCGCACGATGTCGGCGCTCCCTGGCACGCCGATGCCAACGCGGTTCACGCGCCGTGATGTGCTGTGTGAACAGGAAAGTACAAGGAATAAAAGAGAAAGTTTCAATGCTCTCCTTCGCGGCCTTGCACAGGCACGCCTAAGGCTCGGCCTGCACCTTGAGCCAAAATGGCTTGAGCCAAAATGGCTTGAGCCAACATGGCTTGAGCCAAAATGGCTTGAGCCAAAATGGCTGCGGATCTCCTCCTACTCCTCCTCCTCCTCCTCCTCCTCCTCCTCCTCCTCCTCCTCCTCCTCCTCCTCCTCCCTCTCCTGATCACAGAGGTGCTTATAAAGCAGCGCTGAATAAAACACGTCTCTGCCTGAAAGCCTGACACGACATCCCTCTGAACAGCAGTAGTCGTATCAGAAGATTATTCGATTTTGTTATGGCCACCCCTCATGGTAGGCGACCCCAAAGACTGGCTGAAGAGGCCCCCAAGAACGGTGAGCGAGACCAGCTCGAAGTCCTCACTGCGGCCATTCTCGCCCAGGGGTTCCCCGAAGACTTTCCAAACCAACTCGGGGAACACATGGTCCGATAGCTAAGCCAAGCTCCGGCCACGACACTCGGACACACAGTCTATTCCAAAAAAGGCGGGGGGCGGCGGTGACTCGCCGCTGGCGTCTCCGACAACCAACCGGCGCGAGGACCACGGCTGCGCTCGCTCTGCAGGGAGGGCGATTCGGGTTCTTCATCGCGGGATGGTCCCAAAGCCGTGGCAAAACCTCAAAACCTCAGAAAAAACCTGAAAAACCTAAAAAATGCAAATGAAAAACCTCAAAACCTCAAAAAGTCGTCGAAAAAAAACATCAAAACCTCAAGACCCAAGACCCGGAAACACTGAAAAACCTCAAAACCCTCTCCGTCAGGATCCTGGTTCCCAGTGGCGACCGCGGAACACAAGCTCTCGACGCCTCTCTTAAGGAATTGGACGGGGAGGATTCGAGGAGGAGAAGGAGGAGGAGGAGGAGGAGGAGGAGGAGGAGGATGAGGGGGAGGAGGAGGGGGAGGAGGAGGAGGAGGAGGAGGAGGAGGAGGAGGAGGAGGAGAAGGAGGAGGAGGAGGAGGAGGAGAAGGAGGAGGAGGAGGGGGAGGATTTGACAGGGAGTCCCCCTGCAAACTCCAGCAGGTGGCGACGAGACCGCCTCCCCACGGGCCGACAACATAGCAGAAGGCATCGGCAACAAGCCTGGTTTTAGGTCGGGTATTTTCCCCTACAGGCGGAAGTTGGACGAAACGTAGGAAATACCGAAAACAACGAGAAATACCACAACAACAATAGAAACGTCGTCCCCCGACTGTTTTTTCCAAACCATCCTGTGGTTGTAGTTCCTCGTTTTGAAGAGACGGTACCCGCGTCTCCTCCCTCCCGCTGCCCCCCTCCCTCTCCCCATCATCAGCATCATCGCCACTATGATCACCCCTCGCACGTTTCGTGGCCCCATAGGGAGCTCCACCGAAGCCCCCGGTGGGGGTGGCCACATGCGTCCGCCACACCCAGTGCAGCGCTTCGTGGCCCCATAGGGAGCTCCATCTGCGGCCCCAGTGGGGGTGGCCACATGCGTCCGCCACACCCAGTACAGCGTTTCGTGGCCACATAGGGGACTCCACCTAAGGCCCCAGTGGGGGTGGCCACATGCGTCCGCCACACCCAGTTCGGCGCTTCGTAGCCCCATAGGAAGCTCCACCTAAGGCCCCAATGGGGGTGGCCACATGCGTCCGCCACACCCAGTAACGTTTCGTGGCCCAATGGGAGCTCCACCGAAGGCCCCAGTGGAGGCGGCCACATGCGTCCGCCACACCCAGCACAGCGTGTCGTGCCCCCCTTCGGACCTCCACCGAAGGCCCGAGTGGGGGTGGCCACATGCGTCCGCCACACCCAGTACGGCGTTTCGTGGCCCCATAGGGAGCTCCATCTGCGGCCCCAGTGGGGGTGGCCACATGCGCCCGCCACACCCAGTACACCGCTTCGTGGCCCCATAGGGAGATCCACGCAACGCCCCAGTGGGGGTGGTCACATGCGTCCGCCACACCCAATACAACGTTTCGTGGCCCCATACGGAACCCCACCCAACGCCCCAATGGTGGTGGACACATGCGCCCGCCACACCCAATACAGCGCTTCGTGGCCCCAGAAGGACCTCCACCTAAGGCCCCAATGGGGGTGGCCACATCCGCCATACCCAGTACGGCGTTTCGTGGCCCCATAGGGAGCTCCACGCAAGGCCCCAGTGGAGGTGGCCACATGCGTCCGCCACACCCAATACAGCGTTCCGTGGCCCCGTAGGAAGCTCCACGCAAGGCCCCAGTGGGGGTGGCCGCGTCCGCCACACCCAGTACAGCGCTCCGTGGCCCCATAGGAACCTCCACCCAAGGCCCCAGTGGGGGTGGCCACATGCGTCCGCCACACCCAATACAGCGTTTCGTGGCCCCAGAAGGAACTCCACCTAAGGCCCCAGTGGAGGTGGCCACATGCGTCCGCCACACCCAGTTCGGCGCTTCGTGGCCCCATAGGAAGCTCCACCTAAGGCCCCAATAGGGGGTGGCCACATGCGCCCGCCACATCCAGTAGAGTGTTATGTGGCCCCATAGGGAGCTCCACCTAAGGCCCCAGTGGGGGTGGCCACATGCGTCAGCCACACCCAGGACAGCGTTTCGTGGCCCATAGGGAACCCCACCGAAGGCCCCAATGGCACCGCCCGCATGCGTCTCCCTCACCCACCACGGCACGTTCCTCACGCGCTTCGTGGCCCCACAGGGAGCTCCACCGAGAGCGGCACCCACAAAGCGCTACTCACAACTGCATATGGTTGGGTCCTTCGCCAGGACAATCCATACTATGTTTGAATATTCCTCCTGTGGAGGAGCACGCCCGACTTAACCCTGGTTCTGAGACATCGAGCTTCATGCGGCCGATTCTGCGCGGCGGCCCATGGTGATCATCGCGCAGCGGCTGGCACCTGGGCCGGCGAAGGCGCGTCGGCGGGGATCGTGGACAGGTGGTCCTTGAGAGGGGTACAGGGGGACACAAACGAACCGACACGCATTCCGGGATGCACACCATCTGTGCCATCTCTTGCGCCTACCCCGTCCCCTCCGTGTCCCATATTGCCCCTGTGGTTGCTATGAATATGTCAGCCTCTCCTCCGCCTGCGCCTCTCTCGCACCACCCCTGCCCCGCGGCCGTGTCGGCTCGCAGGGCCCTTGAGCTGTGTGGCGCGCCGGCAGCGGGCGCACGCCAGCCCCCCCCGCAAGAGGAAGAAAGAGAACGTGCTCGCTCTCTCTCTCTCTCTCTCAGCACGGGTCCCTCCATTTGCACATCGTGTCTCTCTGTATTTCGGGGATGAACAGAACCCCCATGAGCAAAACGTGGTTCAGTGAAAACGACCTCGGGCCCAAACCTGGCGGGCACCAGCCTGGAAAACGAGGCCGCGACGCCCTCTCGAGAACCGAAGACGGACCATTCACTAATCGTGCCAGGATGGGGTCTCTGTCTAGAGGCCTTCTAGTCCGAGTAGATGAGGTCGGAGGATCGCTCCGCATCGCCGATGCATCGACGATGTATCAGCGATGCATCGGCGATGCATCGGCGACGTCGGCGATGCATCGCTGACGTCGGCGTGGGAAAACACGGGCTCCACATCGAGCCGCATCGTCGATGCGGCGCGACCCTCCGACCCCGTCCACTCGGACCCCATCCGGGAGGCCTGGACGGTCCACCCCCCGAGCACCCCCGACAGCCACTGCGGTGCACTCCGGAGTCCCACTGCGTTGGATGGGCATCTCGGGCCCTCCGCCGCCTCGGACGGTGCGCGTGCAGAGCAGGAGGCCCCGGCCGCCGCAGGCCGACCCGACGTACGCGCGCCGACCGCGGAGACAAGTAAAACCGCTGCTCTCCCGCTGTCACGGCCGACGTGTTTGGTCAGCGTTTTCAGATTCGGCGTTTCGGCAGTGGGCGGAAACGGAGGGAGGGGGGGGGGTCTGGCTCCAGACCTCTACTCAGTGCGACTGTTTGCAGCAGTGCGTCCTATGGGGGGACTCCGCCTGCTCGAAACAGGCGCCCAAAACAGCCAAGATCTACTCCACGGGAGGTGGGGAGAGGGGAGGGTGTGAGGGCTTGCGCCGATCGGCAAAACAATGAATCAGAAAACGACGACATGTTGGGGCCGGATTCGGTTCGGCTCCGTTCTTTACTGCCTTTTTCTCTCTGTGCAGGGGTTACTTTTGGAGATCCGCGCGAATTTCTTGGATCTGCGCTGGACCCCCCCTCCCTGGCGCGCGGAGCGCGCCGGGGGCGGCGCTCGAGTCGCCGCCAAGGGGGCCCAGGCGCGGATCTAAGAAATCCGCTCGAAGCGCCAAAGTTTATCCGTATGTTGGCTGTCCGATTCGAATTACATGGTGGGCCCATGTACCACCATCACTACCATAGGTAGGAGAGGGAGGAGGAGGAGGAGGAGGAGGAGGAGGAGGAGGAGGAGGAGGCGGAGGCGGAGGCGGAGGAGGAGGAGGACTCATTCTCCCTTCTCCTCTGGTCCTACCTATGGTAGAGGTGGTGGAAAATTGGCCCATCATTATATACATGATCCTCCCAAATCGGCTGGAGAAGATTCGTCAAACCCTTGTCGTACACGAGCCGTGCTCCACCGTGCCCTGCCTCTCCGACCATCGAGAATCGAAGCTTTTCTCGAGCGCTGCTTTGGGGCCTCCACGCTTCAAAAAAAAACGGCGCCTAGAGGCCTCCAGGGGTCCTCTGCGGCGGACCTCTGGGAGCCCGTCCTCCTTCCCACCCCCTCCACCTCCTCTTGCTCCTCCTCCTCCTCCTCGTCCTACTCCTGTTCCTGCTTCTCTCAACCTCGAAGCACCTCGTCAACGTCAGGCGAGCTCCGCCTTCAAGAAAGGTCAACGTCAGACGAAGAGCTCCAGACGACAACCGTCCGAAACTGGAAGATGCCCGATATACAATAGGACCGAACCTTGCTTATCCTAAGCCCAGGATCCGTGTACAGGATCAATTGGACGGGCCAAGGAGGTCTGGCATGCCCCAGCTCCGACTTACGCGCGACCGTCATACGCCCAACCATTTAATATGACCGAAATGACCTGACAACTATTTCGCAATATGGTGGGTCGTTGGCACGGCAATTGTTTGAGAGTGAAGCGACGCGCGCGGTTGGGTCGCTGGTCGGAATCAATACACTGGCATCTATTGGCAAGTTCGTCGAAACAGCGCTCCAGCGGCTGGAGTCCAGCCATCTCTGAGTCAGATCTGACATGGATGGCGTGGTTCGCTCACCTTGCGCGCGATGCCCCCTTGTTGCGGGGAAGCCAGAAGGTACCGATGCCGCTACTCGCCGGACCTCTCCCATGACCTCGAGGGGAGTCCAGCGGTGGCGACGAGGGCCTCCGAGGAAGCCCCTAAAAGGGAAAAACGAGGGGAGTTTACAGTGCGGGCGAGGTCGCAAGAAACCCTCGCAAGAAACCCAACGCTGAAAACCCGCGCGCGAGGTGCAACTGAGGGGAAACCTGGAGCACCCCGAACGCAGCAGCTCCTTCAACGGCCGCGGGAAGTCACAGCGCATCGCGCGGAGCGAAGAAACCCAGGGTACCCTGACGAAAAGTAGATGGTTTCTTGAGGCGTGCTCCCAGTGTATGGGTACCGTTTCCGGCTCTGATGTTGCGGCTGGAAGCTCCCCCGCGGCCCTGAAGCAGAAGCTTTGCTCAGGGCAGCGCGTCGCCCTGTGGCCCCTCCAGCGGCTGCGCCGGAGCATCGCCGCCGTGGCTCCGGGCTGCCACTCCGAGAATGAAGGGGCCCTGGGACACACAAACACTTGACACAAACAACAAGACTCACCATCTTTTCCCATATCTTCTGGGTCTTTGTCTCCCCCCCACTTTCCATATTTGTCCGTCTTTTCCTGGGAATCGACGATTCATTGTGTCTGTGTGTGTTCTTTCCGCTCCTGAGAGAAGCTGCGCCCGGAACCGAACGCCTCACGATGCACCGCAACTGTTCCTCAAAGGGGCGACTGCATAATTCACTAGCCTCGAACCGATCCCTACCCCTAAGATCGGCAACCTCAAGAAAATGACAATCGCAGGGACGTGCCCTCGGAAACGGAGGGAATCCTTAAGACCGGCACCGAGGAAGGCGATGCCAAACGCAGGATTAGGGGATATGTGTCAAACTTGTAAATAATTGCTGCCGGGCCCCAGCTTTTTCTGCTCAGGGAATGCAAGGGAGGCTCCACCCTGCAAGCGTCGTTCAACTGCTCGAGACTCCCGCGAGTCAGGGGCGGCAGGCGACGCCCAGAGCCAGGACGAGGTCGGCGCCACCCTGTGCCTCGCCCCCTCGACCATCCAGTTCGGCGCGCCGCATCAAAACTGCAACGCGGCCTCCTGGAAGATCCTCGATGTTCTTGAAACTTCCGCTCTGCCATGCTCTATCACTGTCACACCGGGCCCTCGGAACTTCAGCTCCTCCCTGACACGCCAAACGCCCCGCCCGCCCACGCGATCACACCGCTGCGAAGATGACTGGCTTGTTTTCCACCACCACCGCCACCACCACAACAAGTTGGGGGGGAAGTGGAGGACGAGGCGGAGGAGGAGGAGGCGGAGGAGGAGGCGGAGGAGGAGGCGGAGGAGGAGATGGAGGAGGAGGAGGAGGAGGAGGAGGAGGAGGAGGAGGACCCCCTCCCCCTGCAACTCATGGTGGTGGTGGTGGAAAAGCAAGCCCAGCAGAAGATCCGACGGCAAGGCGCGTGCCTGGAGGCCAGAGCAGGCGGCATGCTCCGCCCTCCGCCTCCGCTTCACCTGCGCTCCCGGAGCGCCCAGCGCCGGGCCCTGCAGCCCTGCCTGCGCGGCGCACCTCTCAGAGCCGCCGCGTGCCCCGTCGGCGGCGTGCCGCGCGGCGCCGCCCGGCAGGCGCTCGCGGCAGACCTCTGCTGCCTGCGGCGACGAGGCCATCGACGCCGAGGTTCGCACCGACGGGAAGACATCCGCCGCTCTGGCGCTGGATCCGCGCCTCTGGAGCGGCGCTGCCGAAGGAGGAGCAGGAACAGGACCGCGCCGAGTCCGCCGGCCGGCCGGCCAGCAGGCCCCTTGGGGGCAGCGCGGGTGGGCCGGGGCCCGCTTACTGCACTTGCTGGACGAAGGCGCGTGCCACATACGGAGTCGGAGTCGAAGCCGGAGTCGGAGAGATGGGAAAGGACCAAGAGCCGGAGGCGGAGTCGGAACCTGCAAAAAACCTTCAACCATTCCGTCAACATAAACGAGCAGGGTCGTGAGCCGGAGTCGAAAAGGCAATCTCAGGGCGCCTCCCGACTCGGGTCCGAGTGCATGGCGTCGCCGCCGCCGAGTGCATGGCGTCGCCGAAGCACCGCCGAGACACATCGGGGATGCCTCGGCGACTCCTCGGCGTGCAGACCCTAGGGCTCTGCACGTCGAGAGCCATATCGCGGGGGTGCCCTGCGCGCCGCGAGGGTGGCGCCTCATCCCCCACGGCTGTGCCCTGCCCGACAGCGGCGGGCGCAGAGTCCCCCCAGGGGCCGTGGACTTGGCGGTCCTGGGCCCTCTGGGAGCGCGCGAGGCGCTCGACGCATCACCACCCGAGGACCGACCATCCAGTGCTCATCGGGGAGGTCTCTGGTGCACGGTCTCCCCCGGGGCCAGAGGCGACCCGAGGAGGAGGAGGGAGAGGAGGAGGAGGAGGAGGAGGAGGAGGAGGAGGAGGAGGGGGATGGAGGTGGAGGAGGAGGAGGACGGGTCCAGTCTCTGGTACCTCAAACTTTGCGCTGCCTCTCACTTCCGTGTGTGTGTGTGCGTGTGTGTGTGTGTGTGTGTGCTGTATCGCATTATGCTGCATTGTTCTGGGCTCCCATGTGTGATGTTGTGTGCACCCGTTGCAATGTTGTGCACCTGCGCTGTACTGCACTGCGTGTCATCACGTTTGCAGCGCGTTGTATCTGATGTATGCCTTGTGGTGCCTTCCCACGCACTGCTGTGCTCACCACTGCTTTCCTGTGGTGCGCTGACTCGCGTGTGGTGCTGCATGGATGCGCGGTCGCATCGCAAATGCTTGAAGTGCATCGCATCGCTGCGTCGCGTTGTGTATTACATGACAATGCGCTGTTGTTTTAGTACATCGCGCTGCAGTGTATCATGTTTCGTTGTGGCACGTTCCTGTGTTGCACGTGTCACTGCTTTCCAGCGCATTGATTGGAATTAATGTTCCAGTTCAGCGGGTGCGTGCCATCGCAGTAAGTTGCATTTGCATTACGGTGCATCTCCTGGCGTCGGAAAACATTGCATCGCATTGGGTTGCACTCTGAATGAGTGTTGCGATGCGTAGCGTGGATGTTCGCTGGGGTTCCAATGCCATGGAGAGCCACATGCACGAGTATGTCTGCGAAACAGCATATTGCTATGGCAACTGCACATCAACGCACATCACGTAAGTTCAAACTCGGGAGTACATCACGACGACGCAAAGCAGAACAAACAAAGCAAAGCCACCGACTGAGAAGCAACGTGGAGCACATGTTGCACATCAGATCAAAGCAATGAAAGTACAACAACAAAATGCAGTTCAATGCAACGCAATGCACTGCACTTGAAATGTACGTTTGAACCATGTCACAACGAGACAGGGCGAGTCAAAAATGAAGGGAACGACCTGACCTGTGGCAACGTGTTACATATGGGTCTTCAGATTCCCTTCAACTTCTCTCCAGCGGAGAGACAAACCCAAACTTTTGGTCTCGCTGGGTGAATAAACTTGCTCGTGGTTGGCTGCCCGAATACGTGATCGCGCAGATACAGGGCAAAGACACGCTGAAAAAAGATTGGAGAATTGTACTGGATTCGCCTGGAACTCCACCGCGATCGATTTGGTAAAGCCGAGTGGAGCCGTGGGCCGAGAAACCCGCTTCATCGATGTTCTTCCAGAGTATCTCCACTCCGCGTGCTCGCAACGGAAATCGCCCTCAGAAACAACGCTGAAGCGGTAGATTGCGGAAGACAATGACCCGTGGAGTTTTAGCGAGAACCAGTGACCTGCTGTCGACAAACACAAGAGCCCCATCGCCAAGAGACATAACCGGCACGGCCAGAGGAGAGCCAAGCGCCAAGGATCAGCATGACGAATGGCACATTGCCCGTCCGCAAAATGAAGAATTCCGGGCCGATTAGTTATGGCTGGCAATCTCAGCGCCACCCCATAATGACTACCTACCAGGCCACCCCAACCCAACCCGACGATCCGAATCTCGTTTTTTTTGGAGGGGTACGGGCTTCATGTGTTTTCGATGTTCCCCGACCCCCCCACACTGGAAATGGAGGACAAATCGGGGCCTTCGGGTTGGGTTGGGGCGGTATTGGTGGGCGGCGACATAACGCCTCGAGGAGTCCTGCTGATCGCGATTATCATTAGGTCGGGCACGTCCCCCTACAGGCGGATGTGAGACGAAAATTAAAGCATACCCCAAAAATACCCAAACATAAGCAAAAATGGATAACGGATCGTCCCCAGACTATGTGTTGTTCTTTATATTTTTTGTCGAACATTCCCCCGTGTAGAGGGACAGGCTCGACTCAAGATTATCACATTCTCCCATGTGCTGCGTCTAGAAAATCACGAATGCTCGCGCCCTGCTTCCCTCCTCCTCCTCCGCGACCTCCACGACGCGGGGTACGCCCGGCTGCCAACAAGAGCCGAGCAGAAGGGGGCGCACGCGTCCTGCAGCCGCGAGAACACGAAGACGCAGTCTGGATCTGCCTGACAGCGCACTTGCACACAGACGCAGTCAGCCCACGCCTTCGCTTGCACGTTAGCACGATTCCCTGCTCCGCCCCGAGCCCTCGCGTGTGTCAACGTGGGTCCGCTTCCTATCTCTCTATTCCTCTCTCTCAATGTCTCGCTCTGGTTATCCCTCTCTGTTCTGCTCTCTCTCTCTCTCTTCTCCTTCTCTCTCCCACTTGACAATCGACATGCTTTCTCTTTTCTCCTTCCGGTTCGCCATACGACGCACACTCAGCATCTCCCTCCTTACCCGTCTGGCCCGAATCAACTGCGAATGGCTTAAGGCTGCCAGAGGAAGAATGGAGGGACGGGGGGGGGATGAGGAGTGATCAGAGGAGGAGAAGGAGAAGGAGAAGAAGGAGGAGAGGAGGAGAAGGAGGATTGGATTGGATTGGAGGAGGAGGGAGATCGGAGGAGGAGGAATAGGAGGAGGAGAAGGAGGAGGAGGAGGAGAAGTGATCAGAGGAGGAGGAGGCGGAGGAGGAGGAGGAGAAGTGGAGGAGAAGGACTGGAGGAGGAGGAGGAGGATGATGACTGGAGGAGGAGGAGGAGGAGGAGGAGGAGGAGGAGGAGAGAAGAATATGGAGGACAAGGAGACGGAGGAGGAGGAGGAGTAGGAGGAGGAGGAGGAGGACTCGAGGAGGGGGAGGAGGAGGAGGAGGAGGAGGAGGAGCAGGAGGAGGAGGAGGAGGAGGGAGAAGGATTGGAGTGATGAGGATTGGACGAGGAGGAGCAGGAAGAGGAGGACTGGAGGAGGACTGGAGGAGAAGGATCGGAGGAGGAGTGATCAGAGGAGGAGGAGGATACGAGGAGTTGGAGGAATGGAGGAGGAGGACTGGAGGAGGAGTAGGAGGAGGAGGAGTGGAGCAGGAGGAGGAGGAGGAGGAGGAGGAGGAGGAGGAGGAGGGGGAGGAGGACCTGAGGACTGGAGGAGAAGCACTGGAGGAGGAGGAGTGGAGGAGGAGGAGTGGAGGAGGAGGACTGGAGGAGGAGGAAGACATGCCTCTCCGCAAGCCCACCGGCGCCGGCGCCGCGGGCACCGAGGGGCCCGGGGCCACCCCGGCGAGCGTTCTCTCACTCGGCGCCTCGGAAGTGGCAGGCGAGCGCCCCTCGGGCTGCCCCTCCCCCGCACGTGCGGGGGGGGGTCGTCGACGGGGATATGGCGCCGCTGGGGCGACGCCCTCTCGCCGTGAAGCACGCAGGGGAGCGAAAAACGACATACAGTCAACCCGTGTAGTCAGGACGCACGATAAGGATGCACGGGCCTCGGAGGGCCATCTCGATGCATTTCGAGGGGGGCGCGGCCAGAGAGAGTGGCCAAGGATGGGCCGAAGGGACAAGGATGCAAGGGTATCCCTGGGAAGGTTGCCCATCCTTACCCTGCGGGCTGACTGTAGGCACAAAGGCTGGGGCCGGCTCCCCCCCGGTCGGGCCCACTCGCTGTGAGTCTGCGGGGCAGCGTCCCTGCCTCTCGGGGGACGAGCGCTGGCATAAACATCACCACACGGAGGTCCGCGCGGATCTCTCAGATCGGCGCTGGGGCCCCCTGGCGGCGCCTCGGGCGCCCGCCCCTGGCGCACTCCGCGCGCCAGGGAGGGGGCTCCGGCGCCGATCCGAGGAGTCCGCGCGGACCTCCGAGCTGCTATGTCTGTACACTGCCCGTTCCCCCAAAAATCGACAGAATCGAACTGCCGAAAACATGGGAGCCGGATCGGCAGCCGAAATGGCCTGGATCGGCGAAAATCGGCGGCCGGGTCGGGAGAGGTCGGATGGGCGGAAATATGCGCGTTGGTATGCCTCCAATAAGGAATCGGAACCCAGGTTGGAATCCGAAGTCGAATCGGAATGGGAAGCCACCGAAATCGAATCGAATCGGAGGAATCGAAACGAGCCCTGCATTGCGCGGAAGGGGGGAGGGGGGTCTGGCTCCCGACCTCTGCTTAATGCGACTGTTTGCAACAGTGCGTCCACTGTGGGGGAGACTCCACCTGCTCAAAGCAGGAGCCAGAAAAAGCCAAGATCTACTCCATGGGGGGGGGGGGCGAGGGCCCGCGCCGATCGGCAAAACAAGAACTACACGCCCCACGTCCGCGATAGTTGCGCAGAATGTGCTGAGAGAGAGCGAGCAGGCAACTGGATATAACTTCTCATCGATCGGACGTCGATTTCCCCGAGCATGTTTCGGTGTCGCGCGTGTTTGCTTGTGTTGCGACACGTTCGTGCATGCGATATCTCCTCTTGGCGCGGCGCATGGGCATTGATATTGCGGCCTTCACGACCCAATCGAACTGTTTGTAGTTGCCCTGCGTGCGGATCAACTCCTGCACGCAGGATGAGACTTACATGCTCGCATGCTTCCGACGGCAATGGGCTGCGTAAGAAGACCACGCGCCCGACATCAAGTCACGGTGCACATGCAAAATCACTCCCGAATTATCCGCAAAACTCGCAAATGCACATGTCATGGAAACGAGCCGTGTACCATTGCTGACACGAGAGCAACACCGTGTAGCATAAACGTGGGCAATGCCAAACGGGCGAAACACACATATGTAGAGGAGTGCTGGAAAATGCTGTGCAAATTCACCGTGCGATGCGGCGATGTCGTAATACCCCATGTGACCACCCCGGCCACCGTCGCGACCCCTTTGGTTCAGAAGTCCCTTGAGCTGGGAGAGGGAAGAACAAAGCAGAGCGCATAGACCAGACACGACGGCATCGGCACACCTTGGGGCGGCCTGAAAGCCGCGTGGTAAGACTCCTCTTCCTCCTCCTCCGCCTTCTCCACCTCGGCATCATCGTCATCATCTGTGCCCCCCTTCTTCCTCCTACTGGTGCTCTGCTGGCCATGGACGGTGAGTCCGCACTAGGGGACGTGACGGAGGAGACAAATGTAAAGCAAAAGGATGGCGCGAGGCCATCGGGATGGCAGAAGCCTAGGAGAGAGGGTGTGAAAAGAGCCTTTTGTCTGGCGTCCATTTGGGGAGGAGGGAAGGCGAAGGAGAAACGGCGCGAACACCTGGCACCAGTCCCACACGTCAGCATTCCCAACGCGAAGGGCAAGATCGGCGTTTTCACTGTCAAACGTACCGGCGCCATGGCAGAGGAGGAGAGGAAAAAATTATGCTAACGGAATTCCCAACTTAAAGATATTAACGGTTTCGTGGGACCCATGGGGTACGACAACATCAACACGAAGGAGAAGCTCATCGAACGAGTAAGTACGCACGAAAGGGCAGACGAAAGAAAGGAGGAGGGAGGGCAGGTGCTCAGGAAACGAAGCCTTGTAAATAGTACGGTTTCTTGATACCCTCCTCGCTCTGGCGGGGCCCCGCTGGAAGGCGGGAGGGCTACGAAACCTGGTAAAGAGTAATGCTTTCCGCGACCCTCCTCGTTCAAGCGAGTCCTCCTCCTCCTCCTCCTCGTCCTCCTCCTCCTCCTCGGCATCATCATCATCATCATCATCATCATCATCATCATCATCATCATCATCATCATCATCATCATCATCGTCATCGTCATCGTCATCGTCATCGTCATCGTCATCGTCATCGTCGTCATCATCATCATCACCAGCATCGTCGTCGTCGTCATCATCAGCATCATCGTCATCATCATCATCAGTATCATCATCAGCATCATCATCATCACCATCATCATCAGCATCATCATCATCGTCAGCATCATCGGCATCATCATAACCATCATCATTATCATACTAATCATCATCAGCATCATCATCGTCAGCGTCATCGTCATCGTCATCGTCATCATCATCGTCGTCATCATCGTCGTCGCCATCATCGTCATCATCATCATCAGCATCATCGTCATCATCATCACCATCACCGCCCTTGGCATCATCATCGTCCGCATCATCGTGGACGTCATCATCATCATCAGCATCATCGTCGTCATCATCAACAGCACCAGCAATGTCAGCATCAGCAGCAGCATCGTCATCATCACCAGCATCTGCATCATCCTCGTCGTCGTCGTCGTTGTCATCATCATCATCGTCATCATCATCATCGTCATCATCATCAACATCATCATCACCATAATGACCGGTATCGCCATCGTCATCGTCCATCCCAATTATCGCCATCGTCATCGTGAACAGCAGCATAACCATCGTCATCACCATCATCATGATGAAGCCTTCCTCATCGCAGAACTCCCCCTCCTCCTCACCCCCCTCAGTGGGAGGAGTAGGACGTGAGATGGATAGGTAGTGTTCTCCCATCCTCCTCACCCATGTCAGTGGGAGGGACACGAAACCATTTAAATGGTGTGGGTTTCCGATACCCTCCTCGCTCAGACGGGGCCTCCCTGGAGGAGTGGGAGGGGCACGAAACCATGTACATAGTATGGGTTTCCGATACCCTCCTCGCTCAGGCGGGGCCTCCCTGGAAGGGTGGGAAGGACACGAAACCATGTAAACAGTATGGGTTTCCGATACCCTCCTCGCTCAGGCGGGGCCTCCCTGGAGAGGTGGGAGGAGCACGAAACCATGTAATTAGTATGGGTTTCCGATACCCTCCTCGCTCTGGCGGGGCCTCCCTGGAGGGATGGGAGGCGCACGAAGCCATGTAAATAATATTGGTTTCCGATACCCTCCTCGCTCACACGGGGCCTCCCTGAAGGGGTGGAAGGGGCACGAAACCATGTAAATAGTACGGGCGGGGCCTCCCTGGAGGGGTGGAAGGGGCACGAAACCATGTAAATAGTACGGGTTTCCCATACCCTCCTCGCTCAGACGGGGCCTCCCTGGAGGGGAGGGAGGGGCACGAAACCATGTAAATAGTATTGGTTTCCGATGCCATCCTCGCTCAGACGGGGCCTCCCTGAAGGGGTGGGAGGGGCACGAAACCCTGCAAATAGTATGGGTTTCCGATAACCCTCCTCGCTCAGGCGGGGCCTCCCTGGAAGGGTGGGAGGGGCAAGAAACCATGTAATTAGTATGGGTTTCCGATACCCTCCTCGCTCAGGCGGGGCCTCCCTGGAGAGGTGGGAAGGGCACGATACCGTGTACATAGTATTGGTTTCCGATATCCTCCTCGCTCAGGCGGAGCCTCCCTGGAGGGGTGGGAGGGGCACGAAACCATGTAAATAGTACGGGCGTCCGATACCCTCCTCGCTCAGGCGGGGCCTCCCTGGAGAGGTGGGAAGGGCACGATACCGTGTAAATAGTATTGGTATCCGATATCCTCCTCGCTCAGGCGGGGCCTCCCTGGAGGGGTGGGAGGGGCACGAAACCATGTAAATAGTACGGGCGTCCGATACCCTCCTCGCTCAGGCGGGGCCTCCCTGGAGGGGTGGGAGGGGCACGAAACCATGTAAACAGTACGGGTTTCCGATACCCTCCTCGCTCTGGCGGGGCCTCCCTGGAGGGGTGGGAGGAGCACGAAACCATGTAAATGGTATTGGTTACCGATACCCTCCTCGCTCAGGCGGGGCCTCCCTGGAGGGGAAGGAGGGGCACGAAACCATGTAAATAGTACGGGTTGCCGAAACCCTCCTCGCTCAGGCGGGACCTCCCTGGAGAGGCGGGAGGGGCACGAAACCATGCAAATAGTTTGGTACTCCGATACCCTGCTCGCTCTTGCGGGTATGGTATGGTAAGGTATGTATGGTATGGTTTTGTATGGGTAGCTTGGTATGGTTTGTTATGGTATGTGTGGTATGGTGTTGTATCGTATGGTAGGTATGCTATTACATGGTAGGTATGGTATGGTATTGTATGGTAGGTATGGTATGGTATGGTGTGGTGTGGTATGGTACGTATGCTATATAGTATGGTTGGTATGGTATGGTAGTGTTCGGTATTGTGTGGTATGCATGGTATGGTATGGTGTGGTATGGCATGGTAGGTCTGGTATGGTATTGTTTGGTAGTGTGTGGTATGTATGGTATGGTATGGTATGGTATGGTAGGTATGGTATGGTATGGAATGGTAAGCATGGTATGATATTGGAGGCTGGAATGGTAGGCATGGTATTGATATGGGAGGCGGGAGGCGGGAGGGAGAAGGAGAGGATGTTCTGGGAAAATAAGACCCCCACTCGGGATGTGGGAAAACAATCCATGTCCCTGTGCGGCTGCGTTTGCGCTGGTGCCTGACAACAATGAGAACGGCAGGAAGAAGAGCAGCAGCAGGAGTGGAAGGGCAGGGGAAGCAAACTAATCAAACGTACCCGGAGATCAGACATTGCGAAATCAAATCCGCCGATCCGGCGTGTGGTATGGCATGGTAGGTATGGTATGGTATGGTGTTGTTTGGTAGTGTGTAGTATGTCTGGTCTGGTCTGGTCTGGTCTGGTCTGGTATGGTATGGTATGGTAGGTATGGTATGGTATGGAATGGTAGGCATGGTATGATATGGGAGGCTGGAATGGTAGGCATGGTATTGATATGGGAGGCGGGAGGCGGGAGGGAGAAGGAGAGGCTGTTCTGGGAAAACAAGACCCCCACTCAGGATGTGGGGAAACAAAACATATCCCTGTGCGGCTGCGTTTGCGCTGGTGCCTGACAACAATGAGAATGGCAGGAAGAAGAGCAGCAGCAGGAGTGAAAGGGCAGGGGAAACAAACTAAACAAACGTACCCGGAGATCAGACATTGCGAAATCAAATCCGCCGCCGATCCGGCGTGTGAGCTTCTGAGAGCGTGGGCTTGAGCTCGCTCAAGCTTCGCTCTGTCGGGGGGGGGGGGCTGACGCCATGGCTGACGCCATTCAGGGAAGGGGGAGGCGGACGGGGAGCTCGCTCAAGCTTCGCTCCGTCGGGGGGGGGGGGCTGACGCCATGGCTGACGACATTCAGGCCAGGCCCGCGAGGGAGACGGAAGGGGGGGGCGGGGGGGGACGCCATGGCTGACACCACTCAGGCCCGGGAGGAGGGAGTCGGGGGGGACCTCCCTGATTCGCCTGGCGCAAGCAACGCATTCTAGCATTTGTGCATTTCATAAGCACATTCAAAATTTGTTGAAGAGTTTTTCTTCCCCACATCCTGAGTGGGGGTCTCGTTTTCCCAGAATATCCTCTCCTTCTCACTCCCGCTTCCCGCCTCCCATATCAATACCATGCCTACCATTCCAGCCTCCCATATCATACCATGCCTACCATTCCATACCATACCATACCTACCATACCATACCACACCATACCATACCATACATACCACACAATACCGAACAATACCATACCATACCAACCATACTATATAGCAGACGTACCATACTATACCATACCACACCATACCATACCTGCCATACAATACCATATCATACCTACCATATAATAGCATACCTACCATACGATACAATACCATACCACACATAACATATAATACCAAACCAAACTACCCATACAATACCATACCATACATACCTTACCATACCATACCCGCAAGAGCGAGAAGGGTATCGGAGTAACACACTATTTACTAGGTTTCGTGCCCCTCCCGCCCCTCCAAAGAGGCCCCGCCTGAGCGAGGAGGGTATCGGACACCCGTATTATTTACATGGTTTCGTGCCCCGCCCTCCCCTCCAGGGAGGCCCTGTCTGAGCGAGGAGGGTATCGGAAACCCATACTATTTACATGGTTTCGTGCTCCTCCCACTCCTCCAAAGAGGCCCCGCCTGAGCGAAAAGGGTATCGGAAACCAATACTATTTGCAAGGTTTCGTGCCCCATCCCACCCCTCCAGGGAAGCCCCGTCTGAGCGAGGAGGGTATCGGAAACCCATACTATTTAAAGGGTTTCGTGCACCTCCCACCTCTCCAGGGAGGCCCCGTCTGAGCGAGGAGGGTATCGGAAACCCATACTATTTACATGGTTTCGTGCTCCTCCCACTCCTCCAAAGAGGCCCCGCCTGAGCGAGGAAGGCATCGGAAACCAATACTATTTACAATGTTTCGTGCCCCTCGCACCCCTCCAGGGAGGCTCCGCCTGAGCGAGGAAGGTATCGGAAACCCGTACTATTTACATGGTTTTGTGCTCCTCCCACTCCTCCAAAAGGGCCCCGCCTGAGCGAGGAGGGTATCGGAAACCAATACTATTTACACGGTTTCGTGCCCCTCCCACTCCTCCAGGGAGGCCCCACCTGAGCGAGGAGGGTATCGGAAACCCATACTATTTACATGGTTTCGTGCTCCTCCCACTCCTCCAAAGAGGCCCCGCCTGAGCGAGGAGGGTATCGGAAACCCATACTATTTACATGGTTTCGTGCTCCTCCCACCCCTCCAGGGAGGCCCCGCCTGAGCGAGCAGGGTATCGGAAACCAATACTATTAAATGGTGTCGTGCCCCTCCCACCCCTCCAAGGAGGACCGAGGACCCGTCTGAGCGAGGAAGGCATCGGAAACCCATATTATTTACATGGCTTCGTGCGCCTCCCATCCCTCCTGGGAGGCCCCGCCTGAGCGAGGAAGGCAATGGAAACCCATACTATGTACATGGTTTCCTGCCGTTCCCACCTCTCCAGGGAAGCTCCGCCTGAGCACGGAGGGTATCGGAAACCCATACTAGTTAGATGGTTTCGTGCCCCTCCCACCCCTCCAGGGAGGCCCCGTCTGACCGAGGAGGGCATCGGACACCCATGCTATTTACGTGGTTTCGTGGTTTTCCCACCCCTCCAGGGAAGCCCCGTCTGAGCGAGGAGGGTATCGGAAACCCACACTATTTAAATGGTTTCATGCCCCTCCCACTGACATGGGTGAGGGGGAGGGGAGAACATGACCTATCCATCTCACGTCCTACTCCTCCCACTGAGGAGGGTGAGGGGAAGGGGGGGTTCTGCGATAAGGAATGCGTCATCATGATGATGGTGGTGACGATGGTTATGCTGCTGTTCACGATGACGATGACGATGGCGATAATGGTGATGGACGATGACGTTGGCGATAACGGCGATTATGATGATGATGCTGATGGTAATGACGATGCTGATGATGACGATGACGATGATGACAACGACGACGACGAGGATGATGATGCCGATGCTGGTGATGATGACGATGCTGTTGCTGATGCTGACGTTGCTGGTGCTGTTGATGATGATGGCGATGATGCTGATGATGGTGATGATGATGATGATGATGATGATGATGACGCCCACGATGATACGGACGAAGATGATGCCAAGGACGGTGATTGTGATGATCGCCGTGGCACGCATGTGCCGTCCATCACTTGGCACGCATGTACCCCTCCACCTCCTCCTCCTCCCCCTTCTCTTCCTCTGCTTCTTCGTCCTCTACCTCTCCTTTCTACTCCCCCTCCTCCTCCTCCCGCGAAATCCTGACATGAGACCTTGGACGACTGGGCGACTCACCCGCCCGCCCGACCCTCCTCCTTCTCATGTTCATACTCCGGGTCATCCTCCCGCTGCTGCTCCTGCTGCGGTTCCTGCTGCTGCTCTTCACCATCATCCATCTTATCCTGTTCCTCCTCCTCCTCCTCCTCCTCCTCCAGGAGGGTATCGGCAATTGAACGAGGAGGGTTGCGGAACACATTACTCTTTACCAGGTTTCGTAGCCCTCCCACCTTCCAGCGGGGCCCCGCCAGAGCGAGGATGGGATCAAAAAACCGTGCTATGTACAAGGCTTCGTTTCCTAAGCACCTGTCCTCCTTCTTCCTTTCTTTCGTCTGCCCGTTCGTGCGTACTTACTCGTTCGATGAGCTTTTCCTTCGTGTTGATGCTGTCGTACCCCATGGGTCCCACGAGGCCGTTGATATCTTTCTGTGGGGAACTCCGTTAACATCATTTGCGGATTTTGCAAAGGCCGTTTGCGGGTATCCTTCGTGTGCCGTTACAGAGTTCCTTGAGTGCCTTCGAAGTGAGGCTCTTGCATAGTATGGCACAGATTATCAGTGTTGCGTTTTACCTGTCAGTTGTACATTCACAAGGTTTTGCTTGAGTTTTTGGATCGCCTCGCAAGGCCACGGTTGGATCCACCTCGAAATTATGTTCCGAACGCGAGGAGCAACATGATAATGAACAGGGCGAACAGCAGGGCGAACAGGGGGAGGAAAAGGGAGGAGGGATGATGACGATGATGATGCTGATGATGATGCTGATGATGATGATGATGATGAGGAGGAGGAGGAGGAGGAGGAGGAGGGGGAGGGAGAGGGAAGGATGTGGGGAAAGAGAAGGGGGGTGAGCACGACGGCGACGATGACGTTTTGATAACGTTGCCCTGGCAACCTCGCCTTCTTCCGCAGTGCTTTGCGGGTGCCTTTCAGGTAAACGCCCAGCATCTGCGATGTAGGTAGCACTGCTCTTTCGCAACTCGGGCGCTTCCGTTCTGACTGGACGTCGTTGTATATGAAAGCATTTTGTCTTCTCAACCTAATCGCAGACGTCCGATTGTTCTTCAATGAAAACGTAAGAAACAAGAGTATATCCATAGTTTGAGTCCACAGGTGGGGGGGGGCGCCCTGGCTGACGCCATTCTGGCAGGGGGGGGGGGGTCGGGGGAAGGGGGGGGCTGGCGCCTTTCAGACCCAGGAGGGGGGAGGGGGGGGAGCTCGCGCCAGTCAGGCCTGGGAGTGGCTGGCGCCATTCAGGCCCAAGGGGGGGGGCGGGACCATTGCCATTCAGGTCCCGGAGGAGAGAGAAAGTCCGGGGGGGGTGGGCTGGCGCTATGGCCGACGCCATTCAGGCCCGTGAGGGGGGGGGGGGGGGGGGGGGGGAACTCACACCATTCAGGCCCAGGGAGGGGGAGTGGGGCGGGGAGCTCGCTCAAGCTTCGCTCTGTCGGGGGGGGGGGCTGGCGCCGCAGCTGGGAAGGGGGGGGGGGAACTCACACCATTCAGGCCCAGGAGGGGGAGTGGGGCGGGGAGCTCGCTCAAGCTTCGCTCTGTCGGGGGGGGGGGCGGGCTGGCGCCACAGCTGACGCCGCTCAGGCCCGGGAGGGGGGGGGGGGGAGACGCCATGGCTGACGCCATTCAGGCCGAGGAGGGAGGGGGGGGGGGAGCTCAAGCTTCGCTCTGTCAGGAGGGGAGGGGGCTGACGCCATGGCTGACGCCATTTAAGTCCAGGAGGGGGGGGGGGGGGGGGCATTCAAGCCCAGGAAGAGTGTCGGGGGGGGGGCTGACGCCATGGCTGGCGCCATGCAGACCCGGGAGGGGGGAGAGGGGGGAGCTCGCTCAAGCTTCGCCCTGTCGGGAGGGGGGGGGGGGCTGAGGCCATAGCTGACGCCATTTTGGCTCGGGGGGGGAGGGGGTCGCCACGGATGGCGCGATTCAGGCCCGGGGGGGAGAGGGGGGGGGGGGGGGCGCCATGGCTGGCGCCATTCAGGCCCGGGAGGAGAGGGGGGGGGGGCTCGCTCAAGCTTCACTCCGTCGGGGTGGTGTTTTTTTGTGGGGGGCTGACGCCGTGGCTGCCGCCATTCAGGCTCGGGGGAGGAGAGGGGGGGAGGGCGGGCGCCATGTCTGACGCCATTCACGCCCGAAGAGGGCTCCAAGACGGCCCAAGAAGTTTTGCCAAGAAGGGCCCAAGACGGCCCAAGGAGCCCCGAGGACCCCCCCCAAAGGCCCCCAAGAGATTGAACAACTTCCTCCAGCGCGCCCCACAAAAGCCTCCAGGATGGCTCCAAAAAGCACCCCGAGAAGCCCAGGAGCGCCCCCTAAAGGTGTCATGCATCAGCTACGTCAAAATCCCATGCGCTGGGCTGTTCACGCGAGATCGTCACTTGCGAATGTCCGAAGGTTACCCAAGCGAGTTCAATCTCTATATGATGAGGATGTCTCGAGCGAGCGCTCTACTTTCAAAAATCAAACGTCATCCATTGCAGGCAGAATCGGTAGTGCCCGGGATCGGCGGCACTGGCCCCATGAGAATATGTCCCTGTATGTTTAGACGTGCCCTATGTATTTAGAGCGGTGCCGATCTATTTGGGCCCGCCTGTCTAAATAGAGCTTGGTGATATAAGGAAAGGTAGTGGTTTTCTAACTTAAGCAATAAAGCCAATCTATTCAAATCCGGTTTTCCTTCAACAGAAGCACTACCTATTTAGATCGGTTGATTTGCCAAGAGGCCCAACGTGGGTGTCAGAAAAAGCCGAACTGGTGTTCTCAGGAATCTTGCTTATTGGCTGATTCACAAGGCTCAACATCGTCTACACGTGGCAGCTGCCAGGAGCTCCTCGTATAAATGAGGCAGCGGCCAGGGGCTCCTCGTCTAAGGAGCCCCTCGGCGCGAGGGAGGAGGGGGGGGCATGTCGCCGCGGCCGTTCGCCGATCCGATGCGCATGCAGGCTCGATTCAGCTAAGCGCTCGCGCACCGCGCGCCGCACCCCCTTGCCCCGCCAATAGATGGTCGCTGCCGCGGATCCTAGCCAGCGCGATTGCCCCAGGGCCAAGGGCACCAGCGATCCCCCAACGCTCGCGGATCTGTGCCAGACGCACGCGCTCAGCATCATCCGCTACCAGGCGCAGAGCGATGTCGAGGAGACGGCGCGCCTTAACAAGGCTTTCTTGGTCAACCTGGGGGCCCTGACGCCGCGCGCGCCTGCGCCGCTCCGCCGAGGCCGCCAAGGACCACTCGCCTGAGCTCTCGAATCTCGAGCGGGCGAGTAGGGCGAACGCCGCGGAGCAGGCGATGCAGCACTGCTGCAAACATAAGGACGCCAGGAAGCCGGATCCCGCGACTGCCACCGTCGCCCGCGCGCTGCGGCAACATGGCCGCGAGGGGGCGCCGACTCTGCCGATTGATGCTCGGCCCAAGCCGCTGGCGGCCCCCGCCAGCAGCACGCGCGGGCCCGCGCTGCGCAGCTTCCGGAGCGCGATCGAGATCGCGGTAGCGCGCGAGCACAACGGCACCCCGCGCACGTCGACCAAGAAGGCGTCGGTTGCCCCGGGCAGCCCGAGCCCGAGCCCGAGCGCAGCCCTGACTACGACGAAAAGGAGGTCGACGCGGAAGCAGTCGCTCGCGGACTTGCCGACGCCCCCCGCGGCCGAGAAGCCCGCGCCGAAGCGCGCTAGCGTCCGCGAAGTGGACTGCAACCGAATGAAGCTCAAGGAGACCGACGACAGCGGGGAGCTCAGGGAGTTCGACTTGGCCCCTGGCGAGAGGGGGATGCGCGCGGCCGTCCTCGCCGACGGCGCGTCGCGGACGTCGGAGATCACCAGCGCCGACTTCGCAAAGTGGAAGAACCCGCCCGTGAATAAGAAGCCGGGCATTAAGAAGACGAGCGGGAACAATAAGAAGCCTGCTTCGGCGACTGGCGCCTGGCGCGTCGAGGGCGAGGACCCCACCGCGGTCGCAGACGAGGAGGGCGAGGGCGGGGGGGAGAGGGAGATGGGCGCAGCCGACGAGGCCGAGGGGCCCGAGGAGGACGACGACGCCGAGCGCGAGCTCTCGCGGGCCATGAAGGGCACGCCCCCGAAGCCCGCGGCCGCCAAGGCGAAGCCCGCGGCCGCCGAGCTTAAGGCGAAGCCCGCGGCCGCCGAACTTCCGAAGGCGAAGCCCGCGGCCGCCGACCCCGACATATTCGCGGACGAGTAAGGCCGCGCGCTCGACTGCAAGACCGAGCAGTTCGACAGCGCGATGTACTAAAAAAAAAAAAAAAAAAAAAAAAAAAAAAAAACTCCGCGGGGCTCCGCGCGAAGGGCGGCTCGCAGCTCATCTGGGCCAGCAAATGGCATCTCTGGGAAATCGGCCGCCAAGTGGCGGAGAAGCTCAACGCGGGCAAGGTAGACCTGCAAGAGGCGAAGGAGCATGCGTTATCCAAGCTAGTCTTCGAGCTGGCGTGCCGCTTGCCATTCGTGGTGGGGTTGTGTAGGACGGCAATGGATAGGATGGATGAAGATTGCGCGCCGCGCACCGCTCGGCGCCGGAAAAAAAGCAAGAAGGGGGGGGGCAGGGGGCGGGAGAGGGGGCATGGGGCCCCTCGGCCAAGAGGCCCCATGTAGGAAAGTGCAAGGCAGGGGCGACGTGGGGACATGCCCTCGCCGCTTTGGCCCCAGCTCAGCCCGCGCACCCGCGAGCGCCATGGCGACTCGTTGCGACCTCTGCGGCTCGGTGTTGCCAGATTGGCGCGGTTGGAAACGGGCGAAGCAAGGGGGGTCCTTTGTGTGGCCGATGCGGACGTGCGGGAAGGGGCGGTGCAACCGCTGCTGCTGGAACTGCGGGTACGACGCGCGCGGCGCCTTGTCGCCGAAGGCGAAGGGCGCGGCGACCGCGGCTGCTGGCGCGACGAGCAGGGCAGGCTCCTCCTTCTTCCTTCACAGAAGACCAGCAATGTAACACGTAAGCACAATCATGAAGCATAACAACAAAAAAAAGGAAGACATCATTTTCCTTCCAAGAGAACCGCGAGATCAGCCGCCGCTCCGCCTGGATTGCGGAGGCGAGGCGCCCCCGGCTCGAGCCCCTCGTGAACAGGCGGCGCATGGCCGACCTGCAGCGTCCGAAAGATTAAGAGCCTGAGCTCGCCGCGAAGTGACTGAGCCGCGTCGCTGCGCCATCTGTTCAGAAAAAAAGGACAAAGCCAAGGAGGCGGAGGAGGAGTGGGGGAGCTATCGGAGGACCAAGGGGGGGCGCGGGCGCCCCTCGGCCACGGTGGGCCCATGGGGGGGTGGGGGGGCAGGGGGGGGGGGGGGCAGAGGTGGGGGAAGAAGGGGGGGGGGGGGCTCGGATGACCGGGGGGCTCTGGGGCGCCTCGGTGGGGAGGGCAGGGGGCTGGGGATAGCAGGGGGGGGGGGGAGGGGGGGGGTTCTCCTCTTGTCGCCGCGCGCTCCTCAGCTTCCCAGCTGCGGCGCGCCCGCCCCCTGGCCCCCTCGGCGCGGCCCGCCCAGAGCCCGACTCTGCAGCGATGGGGCGGCCCTAAGTGCTCTTCGGCGCCTTCGGCGCCTTGTGGCTCCGCTGACTGCTGGGCGGCAACGTGGCGCAGGTGTTTCCCATCCGCAATCATGCAAATGGCAGGTGGCGACGGCGCCCAGACCTGCAGCGAAGGCAGCAGCGGCGGCAGCCCCGGGCGGAGGGCCCCGCCCGCCAACGCAGCCGCCTCCCCAGCACATGCTCACATTGGCCGGCCAGGAGGAGACGCCAGACCAGGAGCTCGGCTTCGCGCCAGGCGATGGCGTCGGGGTCATGATCCGAAAGGCCACCGAGAGCCCCAACGGCCAGGCTATGGATGCAGAGGTCCCCGAGGAACCCGAGGTCGTCGAGGCGGCCGAGGGCCGCAACGCCTCGGCCCCCCGCGGGCGAGGGCGAGGCCGAGGCCCCCGAGGGCAACGTCGCCCAGCCCGACTTGGACCCCATCAGCGACGCCCCGCCGCGCGAGCCCTACCTGCGCCTGCCGATGGAGGGGCTCGAGCCTCCGCGGGTCGAGCTCAGGTCTTGGTGGAGGGCCATCTACAAGGCCTCCGAAGAGAATTGCTGCTGGGCATGCACCCAACCGCCGCCCTTCGGCACAAGGATCCGCAAGGCCCTCCAGGGCGAGATCTTCGGCCCGATCCTCGAAATCGGCCAGTGCTGGGTGCGGGGGCCTCCGCGGGGAGGTTGCGCGGGCTTCTGGCGCGGCTTCGCCGCGGCAAACATCCACGGCCCACCGCGCGGGCCAAAATTCGCGCTCGCGAACCTCTGGGGCGCGCGGACGCCACCCGGCACGCTGACTCCATGCTGGTTCGCGGAGCCCTGGGCGCCTCCAGGCGCAGGACTCGGCGGAGGCCTGCTGACAGGGCTGCCGCCGGCAGGCGAAGGTGGGCAGCCACCTGGAGAAGGCGGCGGCGAATGGAGCGCGCATCTCGAGGACGAGGGGGGCGTGATCCACGCGCCCTCCGAGATGGAGTTCGCGTTCCTGGGCGGCCAGCCGATGGCTCGGCCAGAGGGCTCGGCCCCCCGCGCGCGCACTGGGCCTTCTACGAGAGGTGGCGCTGCTGGAACATGATGCGTCGCCGAGGCGTGAGGCCGCGAGATTGCGGCCTTCGCGGGAGGCGCAACGCGTACTTCGGGGGCGGCAACTGCGTCGGCACCGCCTGCCTCAAGGGGCGCAAAGAGGGCGCTGAGGCGCGCGCGCCCCGCCCGCCTGGCCAGCAGCAGCCCGCGAGGAGGAAGCGCGCGGGCGACCGGTCCTCGCGCCGGGCCTGGATGGGGAAGCCCATGGCGCAAAGAAAAGCAATTGGCGCGATGGCGGCGGGCCCGGAGGAGCGGGACCAGGCAGAGCGCAACTCCAACGCGGCCCGCGCCTGGCGGGCCCCCCAAGAGCGCCGAGAGAGGCAGAGACCAAAGAAGAGGGCTGCTGAGGAAGCGGAGGGGCAGACCACGGACCCTGAGGGCGAAACCTGGGGCGCATGGGGCCCCAGCACCTGCCCCAGAGGCCAGCGGCCAAGACGCCTCCGAAGAAGGCGAAGGGCGCTCCGCTGAAGAACACGCCGAAGGCGCCTCGCGAGCAGCCTGCGCCCCGATCGCGCACGCCCAGGCCGAGGGGGCCTCGACCTCCCGCGGCGCTGCCTCCCAAGGCCGCGCCGCAGCCGCCGCCAGACCGAAGCAAGCCGTCGGCGGCCCGCTCGCGAGCAGCAGGTTCGAAGAGGGCCGATGAGGAGAAAGCGGCGCTCATCCTCGAGAGGGAGATGGAGATGGCGAAACTGGCAGTGCAGGACAAGATTAAGAGCGACGAGGCACAGCATCTGCAAGGGCGCCACGAGCAGGTGCAAGCCGCGGTCGACGCGGCGCAGGCATCGCGGGGCGCACGGCGAAGAAACCATCAGCGATGAAAGAGCACGCCCATTCAGGATGAGCGCGGCACCGTTGCGAGCGCCTCGGCTAAGGCGCTCGCAAGGGCGTTGCGTGCGATATCCTGAATGAGATGTGGCTTTCACGCGCAATTTTCATCGCACGGGCGCTCCCATAGGAGGACATCACGGTGACGCTCCAGCAGCAAACGCAGGCCCCGGCGGACTTTCTGCATATTCAAAAGGACGCTGCGGACGTCAAGCAGCAGCAGCACGAGGCCTACGATAATCTCGCCCACATTGAAGCTGCCCGACTGAAAGCGGAGGAAAATTTGAGAATTGCGCGCAGGGCCCTCCACGAGGCCTACAATAATCTCGCGGCACTGCAATCGCAGCAGACTCGGCAGCCGCAGACGCAGCCGATCCAGCAACATCCGCAGCAGCACCGGGTGCAGCAGGAATGGAAGTTGCAGGGGCACGAGGCCCAGCTGCAGCAACAGGAAAACCAGCAGCAGCAAGCCTACAACTGGCAACCCACCAGCAACCCGTGAGGGCGGGAGGTGGTGCAGGGTCAGGCGCAATGGCTCCAGCCGGCTTCCAAGCGGCGCAGGAGATGCTGCAGCCGCAGCAAGCCTACGGGGCCCACGCGGGTGGCCCAGCATGCTTCCAGGCGCCCCCACAGGAGCCGCCGCCACAGCAGCCGCAGCACATCCAGCAACACCCGCAGCAGATCTGGCAACAGCAACAGATCCAGCCACAGCCGCCGAAGCATATCCAGCAGCAAGGAGCGATCCAGCAGAAGCAGCAGTACACTCCAGCAGAATGGGAACTGTGACATCTGCAGCAGACCCAGCGCCAGCAGGAGCATATGCAGCGCCAGCAGGAGGAGACGCGGAGGCTCTAGCAACAGCTGGATCAGCTTCAGCGCCAGCACCAGCTGCAGGCGTTGCACGGGCCGCTGCAGCCAACGCGGCAGCCGCTGCAGCCGCTGCCGCAAGCGCCGCAGCACCGGGCGCAGCAACCGCCTCCATGGCAAGCCCCGCCACAGCAGGCACAGCAGCCGCCGACACTGCCGCGGCCTCTGGTTGAAGCGATGACCACGCTCCTGCTGCGCGCGCCCCCAACGGCCAGGGGGGTGCCACTGCCGACGCCCGCGCCGTTTTGTGCGTAGGGCCTTTCCGCTCGGGCGCCCGCGGAGCAGCGTGCTTCGCCGGCGTTTTGAACCTGCCCGAAAAAAACGCGCTCCTGGGCGGAAGGGCTTCTGCGCCAGAGGCAGAGACTCCTGGGCAAAGGCTCCAGGGAGGTATGGGGAGGGAGGGGGGGGGCAGAGTAGGGTGGGGGGGTAGAGAGGGGAGGGGGGGAGGGAGGGGATGGAGGAGGTGGAGGGAGGGGAAGGGATGGAGGGAGGGTGGCGAGGGAGGCGAGGGAGAGGAGGGAACGAGGTAGGGAGGGAGGGGAGGGCGCGCCAAACAAAACAAAACAGCTATTTTATGTCATTCTACGTGGATCCCCGGGGCCCAACCAAAATTGAAACATAATAATTAATTGTATTGTTGGTCGTATGTGTTCTTATTGTTTTTCCCCACATCCTGAGTGGGGTTATTGTTCCCCACATCTTGAGTGGGGTTCTTGTTTTCCCAGAACATCCTCTAGTTTTCCCTCCCGCCTCCCGCCTCCCTGTGCCCCTCCCGCCCCTCCAGGGAGGCCCCGCCTGAGCGAGGAGGGTATCGGAAACCCGTACTATTTACATGGTTTCGTGCCCCGCCCTCCCCTCCAGGGAGGCCCCGCCTCAGCGAA